AGTTCAAATAAAGTTCCGACAGAACTTTCAAGTTCCATAAAGTTCGAATAAAGTCTCGACAGAACTTTAAGGTTCCATAAAGTTCAAATAAAGTTCCGACAGAACTTTCAAGTTTTATATAGTTCAAAAAAAGTTTCGACAGAACTTTCAAGTTCCATAAAGTTCGAATAAAGTTCCGACAGAACTTTCAAGCCACATGAAGCAATCCGCACAAGTCTTTATTAGTAACAAAATTTAATGTACGTAAATATGAAATGATCAGTGGCCCGAATAAATCATAATTCTTATATTTATGCAGTGCATCAACATTCTATCCAAACATAAAAAATAATTTAAAAGTAATTTCCTGGATTCGGGCATGCGATCTACGAACGCTAACCACTGCGCCACAAATGTGTTGGAATACAATGCGGGCAACACCAATTTAAAATTCATCAAGGTGTTGTGTTTCGTATTCAAGTCAGTCAGCTGGCACTGAAAACTCCAACAGTAGGCGGGACAACAGCTCACTTTATTATATCTCATATGACGCAGCGGTTCGTGCTGGGGCTCTCACGCAGAAGGACTGGGTTTAATTCTTCAAACAGCTCCAATTCTACTACTAATACTGATAAAAATCAATACACATTAATACACCTGCCTAGAAAAAAACATTCATAAAAGTTCGAACTAAATATAGAATTGGTGTAGAGGACAAAAACCTTTTTTAATTTATTTTCTTAAAGTTCCGTTCAAGTTCCGCCAGAAGCTGCTAAGAATGCTCTTCAATTATGATACCGGAACATTCAAGTTCTTATAGCGACTTAAAAATGAGGCTGCTTCGAATTCTATAGACCACCACCAACCAAGTTGCTTAAACCACAAATAGCCTTTTATCAGAACTTTTGGTTACTTGGGATGGGATCCCTGCACCTTCTTAAGTAGACGTTGGATTCACTTTCCCTTCCTTCCCCTGCGATTTTAAGGATGTGGCCAGGTGTATAATGCGATGCTTGTATTGTAGATTTTATTTTTGTGTAGGTAATCACTAATCCCAAGTGTTTTTTCTGCGTCAACAGACGATATTTTCTGCAAAAAGTATTAAAGCCCGATTCAGATTAAATTTTGACGCATTCAAGTGATCATAACTCAAGAATTAAACAACATACACGGTTGATCAAACCGTCAAACAAAAGGGTATTTATTCAACTTTCAAACGTTATATGACAAGTTATTACAATTCACGGTTTCGAACGAACTGTCGCACTTTACTTGTGATCGATGCCATTGCACAGTCGCTGGCGAACTTATTCCACTTTAAACGCATTTGTTGTGCATTTGTCACTTCTTTACCTCATCTTCGAAGTTTTCGCTTGACAATTGCCCAATATTTTTCGATCGGTCTGAACTCAGGGCAATTCGGAGGATTAATCTCTTTGGCGACGAAATTAACATTGTTTGCAGCATACCATTCTAGTACCTCCTTAGAGTAGTGGCAGCTGGCTAGATCGGGCCAAAACCAAGGTTGCAAAGACTCATTTCAGCTAAAATAATGTTTTTCGGAATAATAAAACCAAAAGATGGTATGATGGCATGTTTTACTTGTAACTTACAAGAAGAGGTTACAAAGTATGCGTTGGAAACATAAAACCTGTAAATTTTGCTTTCTATGAGTCACAATCAGCGATTTGCTGATCGCTGAGTGAGTGAGTGAGTTTGTGAAAAATCGCTGATTGTGACTCTCATGAAGTTAAATAAACAGGTTTAATATGTCAAACACATTTTTTGCAACCTCTTCTTGTATCCTACCAATTCAAAATTTGATCATGGCATCTAATAATTTCATAATTTAGAAAAACATTGTTTTAGCTGAAATGAGTCTTTGCAACCTTGGCCAGAACATAACGTTGGTCATGTGTTGCCGAATGAAGGGTAAAATCCGCTTTTTCAGACACTCTTTAATGTAAACCTTCGACGTCATTGTGTGAGATGTGATGAAAACCTTGGGTTTAAGGCCGAAACTGCAGATTCCTTGCCAAATCATTAGTTTCCGGGCAAACTTATCAGCAAAAACAAATGTTTACCTGGAAGGGACATCCCCACGACCAGTTGCCAGGTAAAATTAATCCGGGGATTTGTTTTTAATCCATTTTGACATATGTTTCGTCATCCATTAAAATACAGCCATCAAATTTCGTCAAATCTCGTTCGTATAGTAATCGTGCTCGCTTTTTGGCCACTAAATTTTGTTTCAGGGAGCGATTCGGATGTTTACTAGCACAAAAAGACTTATAACCTTCTCTTGAAAGGATGTTACGAACGGTGGAAAAGTTGTATGGAGACACCTGGATTGCTTTTCACGTACCTCAACACCTTTCTCCTCAGCTCTTTGTCCCTAGTGCCACTTTTATGATAGATGCGCTGTGCTCTATCCACACTCAGAGTATCCTTGTAACGTTTGATTACAAGACTCACCGTTGACTTTGGGAATTTTAACACTTTTGCTATTTTTTAGGCAGACCACGAAGGGTTCTCTAGATGTTTGTGCACAATTAATTTTCTTTTCTCAAGTTCCATGATCCGTAATTTCGGGATGCGTCGATCAATCGAGAAAAACTTTTCACCAATATCTTCGTCAATGAAACATCAACAAATGCCTGTCAAACGTTTTTTGTTCCAACCACCAGGGGCGCGGTGGTGTATTAAACCGTGCGTCCAGATTTACTTCAAATCGAGATTTAGTTGAGCATTATATAGCCACCCACGATTTGTTCAACCGCATATACTATGCTATGCTATTATAGAGGTAAAAAGGAACCATGCGTGGAAAATCAATATCAGAGCTTAGACGCATTGTCAGGACTCCAAAAGTGCTGGAACTAAAATGTGAGTGCCAGCTATGGTTCATTTTCGTGACAAATGTAGCTGCTAATTAAAGGTAAAGGTATGCTTAGTTGAAGTTTATATATGTAGTATATCTGGAATATACTGATATCAAGAAATCATTCAAGCGTTCAAACGTTATGACCATTTTTAAAAGTGACAGTTATTCCGAATCACCTTGTATAATACAAACAAACAAAACTTTTGACTTAATTTCTTGTAACTTTCACCCAAAAATGCTTCTAAACTTGTGTCCCGGAAAATTGGATCAGATTCCCGGGATTCAGAAAATAATATTTTTGGTAAATTTCCCGGGATTTGTTTTCCATGACGGTAGGAAACACTAACCAGGGCACGTTCCGGGCTCCCGGGGAAGTGTCAAAAATCGGACTTGATACACATGAGAATTGAATTTTGAGATTATTTATATACATATTGAGTGTCCTGGGCCAAATTGGCCACATATTCCTGATTCCCTTGGGGGAAATGGCCAGAATCTGAATTGAACTAAACCCCATCGTACGACACCTCAAATCATGACAATTCGAAAATAACATCCTTGGTGGTCATGTTGAATGGAAGACGGGTTCGATCTCCCCATTTAATCTATCTTTGGTGAACTAATAAGGGGCTGTTTATGGGACAACAGCCTATACAAATTTCCTAAAAAATGTATGAAAAATTGTCTACGCAGGGCGAGGCTCTCAAACCTCTAAAAATATGTCGACGTAGTTTATGATCAGAGGACATTACAGAGGTTCATTTTGATCGAAATTTATGATAATGATCAAGTGTGATAAGTCACCTCTAGAGTGTCTGTATTCATATAGTGACGACACGAAAAAATTTGAACAATCTATCGCCCAGATAACCTGTCATATGGATGAGATAGTACAGGCACTCTGGTCTTCTCTAATCAACAAATGTATCCTCAAGAACAGAAAACCGATAATCGACAGAGCAGTTACAAGAAACTTTATAATCCTCCAAAGCTTCGAATGTCGTGGATCTCCACGATCCGAAGTAAATTTAAAACACTAAAATCCTACGAAATATTTCCCATCCTGAACAGATGCTTGAATGCTTCGATAACGCAAATCGGTATGACACCCACCCACGCAAATTTTACGATGAACAATTTCTAGAGAGCCATAATCACTCTCAGCACACACCTAGAAGCTTCGCACCATCCATCGTTTTGGCGGTGACACTCGATCTAAGAGAGTAGGTTTTAACTTAACTCTGCTCGCCAGATGGCACTTTGGCACCGGTGGTCATTAGCAGCCTCAATGTCCCGTGCGGTTTTCTGTCTGTTTCGATTTAGGATTGGACCGGGATAGACCGTCATCCTCTCGTCTTTCGGTGTGTAGTAGGTAGCTTTAGTCGTGGTGCTCTAAAAGTGTCGCGTGAATTTTTCCTTTCTCTGATTGACAGCAGACAGTGTGAGCAGTTAGTGCGTTTTGATTACAGGCGCGCGCGAAGGGATTTGAATGTGCGTCATCTCATGCAGTCGCGTGCGTCTCACTTTTAAGCCCTTCTGTGCGTTCCGAATATATATAACGTGTCTTCTCCACATTTGTCGGTAATTCCTCGCATATGAAAACCCCGAATAATGGAGGAAAATGTGCGAGGGCGAGCGCGCACTGAGAGTGATGTGTATATTTAAAAATAACTATTTTCTCTCCTGCCGAATATGTTGAACACATCTTGAACGGACAGCGAAGATAATATTTGCCGTTTTCCCAGTAAAATTCGCAGCCTCGCAACGATCCCGGTCGGTTGGTTCTCTCGCGCTCTCAACCGTGAGAACACCAGAGACTCGTGTGTACTTCACTGGGACTTGTGGCAGCACACACCAAGAACCAACCGAACTTGCCTGCCAGGTGGAGGTCGTGCGGGAGTTTCCACTTGATTCGTCCTCTCGATTTAGTGAATATTTATACTTTTTTTTTTAAATTGAAAATTGTGATTTTGATTGCTCGAATTGATTTTGAAACGCGTAGCTTTGTAGCGAACCCTATACTAACAGACTGATTAATTTTAAAACGGAAATTCAAAACGCTAATGTGATAGTGAGTGAACCGCGACTTGTTCTTCTGTATGGTTTAATTTGTCTTTTGAGAAAAAAAAACATAAAGTGCGAATAGCAACGAATCCAAGCAGGAACGAGAAAAACGACATTACGAAAAAAAAACAGAAAAACACAAAAGAAAGAAGAAAACGACAAAATTTTAAAAAGTTGGAGTGCTCTTTGCGACGACACGGGTCTGCTTATTTCTTGCTCATATTCTCCTCAGTGTGTGCGCGTTGGAGAGTGTGAGATTTTTGAGCCTGAAAAATTCGGCAGTGTGACTCGGGTATTCAATGAAAATACTGATTTTCCTTCAATTTTCTCCACGTTGAACCCGGCAATAGGAAAAAGTCCTTCCCCCCCAAGGCCTACACACACGGTGGTTGGCGAAAACGGAATTCCAGCATGGTGCGGTTATCGGTGTGGGTCCTACTAGGACTTGCGCTATTCACCCTCTCGGTGCACGGTAGGTTCCGCGTGTTAACGGTGTTTGCAATGGTTTCAAAAAAGTGAAAATTTCCAATCAAAATCAGTGAGTGCGTGATTCAGAAATATCCTCTCGGTGCATCGACGACGCCGATAGATCGAGAAGACGCAGTGTGTCCCTACACCCCGAAGATGTATCGATGCCAATAATTGTTGATTCCGACCCAAGCAAGGAGTGCAGCGCATCGCGATATTGAAAAGCCACGATTGTTACATAATCCACCTTATGCAATGGGTGGAAATTTTCAGCTGATCCTACTAGAAAACGAATCGTGATGTATGTATGAATATTTTGGTGGGCGATACCCCAAGAATCACTGACTGGGAGCAGCAACGGAACGTACGTATGGGGTATGGTTTCTCTTTGACTAATGACAGTGAGTGAGGTTAGCGAATTATTTTTAACATCTACCGAGACCGACCAGTGCACTTATGTTTGACATGAAGCGAACGGATCTTTAATTAAATATTTGAACGGGCGAAGGGTTTAGAAGCGTTCTCGGTGTGTTATTCCACAGGTGATCAACAAGTCTGCTGTCCTGTTGAAGTTGGTGATCACCTGATGGAGTAAAGGAGACGCATAATACCGTAACGCGTAATAGAGAGTGGAACAACACGATTCATGAACAATGCTGCTCCATCAAGCAAATGTTGGTCGATTTAACGCTGCATGGTTCTGTCAAACGTTTCGTGCTTCGAGGTACTTCAGTTTACGATTTTAATCTTTCAGCAGTCACACTAGTTTACTGAGTACACCGTTGTATTTTTTCAATGAATTAGCACGAGTGCTGGAAGATAAAGTGACTGCCTGAGATCAATCTCACCAATTTCCACCAAACTTTGATTCCCTTATTTCAGTAATATTCATAACTTAAATTTTTAATTTAAAATTTTTGAAAAACTTCTATTGAACTACAGTAACAAATTTTTTCAATGATATTCTAGAGGAAATATACCTAAATTAGTTGTCATAATTCGAATAATTTCTACACGCAAAACAAACTTCTCTTACTTCTAATGTAAGGTTGGATTTATTTCATCCTCTGCATATGTTTCATACAACAAATTTAATGGCAGTTCTTGCAGTGGATTGCAGCGTACAAGCAAGTTTTTCCAAAATGTATATTTTTTGTATAAAACTTCCACGAGATGATTTTCTAGACGCAATGCATTTGGGGAAAAAAAATCTTGTTCGAAAAATAAGCTAACATAAAAATTTAAAACAATATTTTAAAAACCTCCCGGTGATCACATTACAGAATCTGTTCATGTCACGAAACTTTGCAAATTCTGCATACTTTACCTGCAGAATCTTACATTTCTTGATTGGGTGTACTAGGGCTTAGATCTAATTTTACCTACTAAGAACAACCCGTGCTTTACCTCTATTTTTCACGAAATGGAATGTTTTCGCTGCAGATGACTTCTAAATGTATTACCCTTTCCGATCGTACCGTAAGATTTGATGAAGAATAACTAATTGTTGAAATATTGTTAAAAATTGAACACTGCTTCTTTGCCCCAAAAACGGCCTACAGATTCTAAAATCGGCCTAACGCATTAAAACGCCATTGAATTCACTTCAACCTATCGGAAGAAGATAAAAATTGTTATTTTTTCGGAGCGCTTTTTTGTTTTTTATTTATTTATTTGTTTGTTACATCATCAGGCTTGATATAGCCCCAATGATGCCTTTAAATTAGTTCAGTACAATAATGAGAAACAATGTCATACAAACATAACACAAACATATCCTTAACATTAAAATTTGAACATAATCATTAACATAGAATTTATTCACCGCTAGAAAAAAAAAAGAATCTGCTTGATATTGAACTGCATAACTTTAACGTGTTACTCGATAGGATACCACGCCACGGCGACGATATTTAATTTGATGAGGCCATGTAGAAGTGCTCAAAGCTGCGTGCTTCCACTTTTATCAAGAACAACTTTAAACGAAACGTAGTCCATATCTTCACAAACCTTCCATCTAGGCACAAGTTTGGTTACCCTAACACCACAGACAAACAGACATAACACATTGAATATTTTTCAATATAAAACATCGTCACTAAACCACTACCGCCATCTGTTGAGTATACTGTGATGGGTAGTACGCTGAACAGATGGCGGTAGTGTGTAAACGTCAAACGCAAGGTTTATTGACTATGTGCGCCACAGGTGGCGGTGCTACCAACTAAAAACATTTAAATTGACCGTTAAATGCGTGTTCGATGAACAAATTGCCAGTGTTATGTCTGTTTGTCTGTGCTAACACTATCCGTTTCTTTTATACCAAGCGATTGAGACACCAGCAGGTCGATGTCATGCTCTTTTACTCGGTTATCGATATTTGAGAGCACCAATGAAAACGAGTTATCCCTACTAATAGTGAAGTAATCATCCTTTCTTCTCGGGCTGACGCCACAACCATGACTGGACATGTTCCTTGAATCTGAAGGCTTAGACGACGGCACTGGCGTTGAATGTTGCATCAATAATGATTTTTCTGTGGCCAGCATCTGATTACCTCCAGACAACATTTTGATCATTTCAGCAACTTGAGCCTTCAATTCCGTCACCTCCTTGATAATCTGCAGTGGTTGCTTTTGTTGCATACATTTATTTGTATCTCGAAAGCGGACCGATCCAAATTCTACCAAACAATCATCGCAAAGCCAAATGACGTTTCTGCAAAGAGCACGTACTGTATAGGCACACGCACATTAGATCCATTTGTGTTGCGTTGACGTAAATTTGACAGTTAGACAATAGATTTAGCTGTCACTTTGCCGCAACGCGTCAGATCCGGATCTAATGTGCGTGGACCTTATCTGTTGTGAGACCTACGCAGTGTGAGTGAAAAGCTTGACTGCATCTTCCTTGACAGGCAGTGAATATATCGTTTTTTTGCGCCGATGGAATGAGAGCACTTTTTGCACGGCATGTTTTGATTCAATGACAATGGAATCCTCAGTTCGACAGCGATGGTATAACAATCTTCCGATTTCTGATGGTTGATGTTAATTTCTCGGCGATGTATGATGATATCAGCAAATCCAGGCTTGATCATGCGAAAGAAGCACTACCCAATTAACAATTTTGGTTTTATAAGGGTTCTGTAGACCATGATTCAGACTTGTAGAATGCTATAAAACCGCAATAAAACCTGCAATGTTACATGGGTAGCAGGATTACGTAATGATATTTCTTTGATTTTCCTCGATAACGATATAAACAACAGTTTTCAACGGTAAATCAAGAGCAACAAAGCAATACAGCTAGCAACTTAAACAACTCAGCAACTTTTTGAGAATAATGGCTGCAATCATACATACCACGCGTTTTTACTGGCTTCGTTCGGTAGCTTTTGAACTGAAGAATCGTACCAAACGCACAATTGGGTTCTTTAATTTTAAAAAAATATATCGGTTTTTATATATCATCTTAAAGAGCTTCGTTTTCTGAGCACAGCGATATTTTTTTCGAACCCACACACTTTCATCCTGATTTTTAAATCAAGATTTAAAGCAAAATAATAACTTCACTGTTTGACACTAAACTGTCAAACTGACAGCTCGCTCCCATACAAAGTGACACCAAGGGGCGCTAATAAGGTTATTTTTGCAAATGTAATCGTTCTTATTTAAAATAGTTCCTGTGTTCCAAAATTGATAAAATTTTGGGTTTGGGTTCCATTTTTAATGCAGATTACGAATATGTATTTACCTCAATAACCTTAAGGAACTCAATTGACTTTTTAACGCCGAAATCATGGATTTATTTGATGTTTTCTACTCGATAGGCCAAAACAACTAACAACATCTAGCGGCTACCGAAAAGGATTTTTATCAACCCTCAGGATCTCAGTTGAACTCAGGAATGTGCCAACACCCAGTGGGAGCTAAATTTATGTTAGGCCCAAAATCATCGAAACACTCTTTTATTAAAGTAATTTTAGTACATTTCACAAAAATGCAATATCAAGCATTGGGCAACCACAAGTTTGCAACTCTATTTAAAATTTGAAATAAACAACCATCCTCATACTATCCCGAGTAATTAAGATGTTTGAAATTTTTAAAGGGCCTATGACAAAAATGTAAACAAACCAGAAAATGAATTGTAAATTTTTCCGACACTATTTAATTCATATAGGGGAAATGGCTCTAATGTTGGCCTATGGATTTAAGATTGGGCCCATACATAAATTAAGCAATCGACTAAATTTTCAATAGCGTCCAAAAATATTCATTAGTGACGCGTTTATCTAGATAAAATTGATAAACAGCAGATTTTTAGTGACGGGCCCAATCTTAGATCCATAGGCCAACATTAGAGCCATTTCTCCTATAAGGAAATTTAAGTATTTTAGGCATTTATAGTAATAGTAACTATATTTTAGAAAAATACATAAAAATCGATAGCAATTTAATTTTATAAATTAATATGCCTTTTTGAGAATCTTTCAACGGTTAGTTCCTTTTTGCTAAGCCGTTTTGCTTGTTATCAGACATAGTATTTGCTAAGCCTTATCATAACGTCAAACAAATGCAAAACAAATCATTGGCCGATGCAGCAGCAGGGCCTGGATTTGATTTGAAAATTTTCAATCATCACTCGACTAGAATCCTCACTAGACTTATCAATGGAACCTAATGGAACGAAAAACATATATGTTAAGCCGTTTTATCATGTGGACCTATTTATGAATTATTCGACAAATGTCGTTGATCGACCGTTTTGAAAATCAAGTTATTTTTAATGATTTTAATCGATAATGCGGAGCATTCCTATACCATTGGCAGCTTTTCAGCGGTGCTATAGAACAGGGTTGCTTCCAATCTAATAAAGAAAAAAAATGTACTTTTAAGTTACTTAAAGAGGTTGAAACGAATGTGCTTGAATCATAAAACCTGTCAATTCTGCTTTCAGAGCGTCGTAATAAGCGCTTTTACGATTCGTGAGCGCTCACTC